AAAGACATATAAAGATATAAAATCTAAGACATTGAAAGATACTGCGATTGCTATAGGTTTAATTGAGTATGATTGACAGATTGATAATATTTTCCAAGAAGCTGTTACTTGCATGGTTCCTCAATGATTACAAAATTTTTTTGCATGGTTTTTAATATCAGAGAATATACAAGTTAATAAAATTTGGAATAGGTACAAAAACTTTTTTTGTGAAGATTTCATTCAAAACAAAGAAGATTATGCTCTTCTGTACATCAACGAAATTTATACCTCGAATTTGAAAAATCATTATTTTCTCGATAATTAGTATGGATAAAGATAAAAATGAAAGGATCATATAAATCCGCAGTGTAAGAAGTATAAACGTACATTTTTTCCAATTTTCTAACTATTACTAAGATATATTGTTTTAAGGTCGTAACGTTGGTTCCGTAACAGCCCACGTTAAATTTTTCATTTTTTATTTATAAATAAAACATAAAACATTAAAAGATACTGCAATTGCCATGAGATTAATCAAGTGAGATTCACAGATGGATGATATTTTCCAAGAAGCTAGTACTTGCATGCTTCCCCACTAATCAAGAAAATTTTTTGCATTTTTTTGAGTATCACAGAATATACAAGGTGATAAAATTTGAAATAAGTATAAAAACTTTTTTTGTGAAGATTTCATTCATAATAAAGAAATTTATGCTCTTTTGCACATCAAAGAAATTTTTTAACTCGAAGATAAATTATGTAAATCATTTTATTCACCTGTATCGTTCAAAATAAACCTATAAAACAACGATGACGCAGAAGAAGTCACATTTTGTAAAAATAAGTTCGATTCGATGTATGCTTAACCAAGCAATGAACAAAAAAATAGTTTTACAATTATATGTAAAAACGATAAGAAGATTTATTGTATACATGATTCTGGAGGATCAAAGAAAGTCTTTTTACATGAAATGTAAATTTATAACTTCGTATAACAAACAAAAAATGTTATCAATGGAATGGATTGGCATTGCATCAGTACTACTATCTAAAGGTATGACCAGTCATAGAACTTTCCGCTTACCTTTGGGCTTAAATAATATTGAGCCT